TACACTGCTAAATTAGGGACGGCTAGTGCAGATAGCCCTCGTGTAGCTTTGCGCGAAATTTCAAAACAAATAAATATCTTCCCAGTTGACTTTATGACATAGATTAGACAAAGATCTCACAAAATTGACACTGGAGATGCAACCCTAATACAACAGTTGACCAGATGACTGCTAATTATAAAACAAACTACACTTCTCAAAGAACTAAAAACCAACAAATAACAAAGAGTAACCAGAGACTCAGTACCAATTCTCGGACATCACCTATTGTACTTGTGAAGAAGGATCAATCCACAAGGTTTTTTTAATGTATTATGCATGCAATGATAACTATTGTTGTGTTAAATTGGCAGTCATGGTATTCAGAGGTGAAAATTTCTTCAGTATTTAATTGTCCATATATATACAATTGTTATCCTGTCTTCGCCCTAATAGGGTTCTTCCTAAATAGGAAATAAACAACGCGCGCAAAAGCGATTGGTTTAGCTTCTACGCTCTCTTACCTAAGAGGCTAAAATTTATCGTCAATTTCTGCTTTTACTGCTGTACATATAGTGCGCTGACTCATTTCTTCATTTGCAGATATTTATTCGCTTAATAATATAATCCGTTATTTAAAAAATTCAAAGTTTATATTTATGTTTTTAGAATAATCCAAAAGTACATAATAAATATTATGATAATAAAAATTGCTTAAATGTATACAAAATATTTAAATAATTTATATATGATTAATTACCGAAAATTGAATGCGTATTGATATACTTATTCGAAAGTACTTTGGCTGAGTGCCACCCTTCCTTTCAACGCTAACCAGAAAATCATTGTTTCTGATACTTTTGATACAGTTATTTAGGAAGTGTGAGATATTAAAAATGGTAAGGCGCCGTTTTGTGAAAATTAAATGAATCATAAAGTATTTGTGCATTGAAATGGCTGGTGTATGAATCAGTATTCATTTAGTTATTTTGTAACTATAATAATTTGTTTGTTAGAAATTTCTAGGTTTTAAAAGTTAAACACGAAATACTGTCACTCTCAGTAAGTAATATAAGACTTAAGATTAAGAATACTATGATTACATTCCGGTACCGACTTATTAAACTTAAAAATGAAAATAGGCTTAAGTTAAACTTAAAGTAGCTCTATTAGTATTATGTAACTCATAACATTAAAAAAATGGCTTAGGCCTATACTTTAGACAAAAATAAAATAACAGCGTAGTTTCTTAAACTTTAACTTTAGACTCAAGACAGCTGGAGTTTTGTCGTTATTAGTATTAAGTTACGTAACATTACTGTTAGTATTACTGTGTGCACCTGAGGCTGCACTTCTGCTGAACCTACTGGAGGGACTAAAACGTTAAAGTACTACTACAACTTTATAGCTTCAGCTTTTATGTCGTTAACACATCCACGGGTTAAATCTAAAATTAGCTGTTATGCCAACCAAAGTACTTCCAGACGTGCCATTGGTTGTTTTTTTTTTTTTGTTGCTGTATCCTAGGTAGGAAATATTTAAGACTCACGTTGTACTATTTTTGTGAACTGAGTTAATATGACTTACTCAGTGTGGAAAGCTTTGTTACAGATTGTACATTAAATTTTTGGTTCAGGCCTTGTGACTGGCCCATCAAATATTGTTGCTTTTCTTGTGTTTCATTTTTAACAGTTTCAATTAGAAGAATCCTTTGCACAAGGTGTGATTATCAGAGAATTGTGTAAACTTTCAACTTGTGAAAGTTGTTAGATATATTGTGATCCTGCATGTGTGTGTACATGTGTAAGTAGTGAAATAAGATCATCAGACTAAGACTAGTGAGTACATTGTGTAGTCATATGTTCCAACAGTATGTTGTGCAACTTTTGGATAAGAAAACATCATAGGTTTCCCCTCAACTAGTTATTTTTACATGTCAGTTCTTTTTTACAAATCTGCTTGAAATTGTCAGTGATAATGGATTTAAATGTCATTCTTTTGCTGCAAGACAGTTCTAAAGATTTGATTGCAGTGTAAAGCTATAGATATTGAAAACTTGTAGTTGAAGCCTTGGACTGCATTAGAAATTTGTATTAGATATTCCACTTTCCAGCTGAGTGAAAGAAAGAGTAATGCCCGGACCAGTAAGCTCATTTTTTGTGTTTTAGTCTGTCACTTGGTAATCCTGTTATTTTAGAGAGTTGATGTGTTTTACAACAAATTCTAAATGACTAGCCCAGCAGATGTGTAACATATGGACAACATTCCCCAATTAAACTCTTGTAAAAATGCTGGCCATCACATTAGGTGATGGCAACTTATTCCTTAAGCAAGTCATCCGGTTAGAAAAATAAAATTCTCATAACTAGACCCTAGGCTTTCTTTTTCCAGGTTATAAATTTGTCTTTAGAGTATAGGATGTAGGAATGAGGGATGTTTATCATTGTAATCCCCCCCCCCCTCCTCAGCTGCTTAATCTTGTAAGCTTCAGTAAGATCACCTATTACCCTTCATTTCTTGAAAGAAAAGTTGAAATCTTAACCAGTCCTAAATGAAATAATCCTTAAATTCTAGGAATCATCATCATAACCTTCCTCTAAACCCTGTATAATAAGATAGTATTCTAAGTTAGGCATAACTAGTGATTTGTAGAGAAATAATTATAAAAATGCTATTAGCTCTACTGTTAATAACATATTTGATGGCTTTAGTGTTTTAACCACAGCTGTGCCGAAATCCTTAAGTCGCATCAATTGAGTAGGTTTTCATAAATAATGTGGATTAAACTTATGATCTAAGTTATAACCCAGATACAGTGACTTGCACGTACTATAATTAAAAGTCATTTTCTAAATATTTGCCTAAACAGATGAATTAGTCACTTGTAGTACTGCAGAATCTTCATTACAGCTAGAAATTAACAACAGTTTAATGTCATCTGCAAAATCTCCCCAATGAGTATAACATTTAAAGAAATCCCACTTAATTGTAGTGACATTCATTACCTCATGGCCACACAAAAACCTGAAAACATGCAAGTCTATTTAATAAGCAAACTTGTCTTGAAATGAATACTTTTTTTTGTGGTGGAGTTTTAGAGTAAGTCTTATTGCATGCAGTGCAACTTACAAAATTTAAATGTGTAAGTGTGTATTATATATATATATATAAGTTAAAGTAACTTTTTCTTGACAAGATTTGAGCACTTTATTAGTTTATAAAGACAGTTTTACATTATAATAATAATAAGAAAAATTATATACACAATTAAATTCACCATTTGGTCTACAAATTGTTCTTTTGTAGTTAATTATTTTGTATGTCTGGATTATTGTAACTGAAATGTTGTATGATAATAGTAATGACATAATTTAAAAACATGAAGATCATATAAATTTTAAGTACTCAACATTGGAATTACAATATAAATAGTGATCTATAATACAGGTGTCTGTTATTGTAATGTTTTCAAACTGATTAACTGGGTAGGAATAAGTTATACATATGTACAAAGGAACAGACTAATCGTGCTTCAATATAGTGCCAACTGTTGATGTAATGAGAAGGTATAATTACATGTACTGTATTTCACAGAAAATCAAATATGATTTATAAATATCTAAAAACATATACGAATCTTATCAAGCATTTTTATGAAACTTGAGAATGATAGCTTATTGCTGTTATTTAAAACCATGATAGCTTACAAAATTTCATCCACTCAGCAGTACTAATTACCGACAGTTACTGCTACATACCTATGCTTTTTTTTTTCTTGGCCTTTCCTCAAGCAATGTACATTGTGGCAAAATCAGATGCTTGGCTTTTAGGTTTACTCATTACAACAAGCCACTAAATTAGATAAGTAACATCTCAAATTAGGCAAGGTAAGGTATTTGAATCAATAAATATTTGAGTTATTCATGGAAAAACATTAAGAAATTAAAGGGAAAAACTTATTATGTAATTGATACTTAAAACTGCAGGTACTTGATGAAACTCCATAATTACAGAATTGAGGAAAAACAAAGACAATTGTATGTTTCAAAAATACTTCATTTGTCAATGACCACAGTTTCACCAGTAGAGGCGTCATCAGCTGATGAAGTATATGTGAATTGTACAGTTATCTTTGTTTTTTTCCCATCATACTTGACATTTTTCATGAAATACCAAGGCTTTACTGTATATCGTTACTAATTTTGATGACTGTAATATGGAAAGAAGGTGCGGCCATAAAACTTGTTGATCATGGGATCGTGATAAAGTTTGGTAGTGTAGGAGATATATAACTTCAGCTAAGACTTTTCTTCCAACAGGGTGTTGGTCTTTGGAATAGTTTGATGTGTGGTGATACAATATATGTTTAGAATATCTAGGTTGAGGGACCAGTAAGTGAATTAAGAACCTTCCATATGAGTCATTAGGGTTTTATATTCTACAAACAAGCATTAACTAAACTGATGATGTATTACATCTGACTTCTCATCTACAGACACTTTATGAACTGTTTTAATCTACCTTTGCTTCATTGTTATTCAATGCCTGTCAGGAGTCCATGCTCCACAGTTTTCATGGCTGTGCCTTTGTTAATCTCTGATAAAGGCCTGCAATAACAGTTTGAAACCTTTTCTTCAGTTAGCAGCCATATTCAGTGATAAGTTTCCAACTTAAGTTATTGATTTGTTAATTGTAAATTTATTTTGGGCAGTGACTTGTGAAACCTAATTAGTGTCACTTGATATATTGGTAATAATCTTATGGAAAATATAGTTCAAAATGACCACAATTTTTTGTGAAAACGTTCTTTTCTACTTTAAGCTCCTTAACTTGCCATCACCTATCTTATTGATATATGATATGGGTGTGTGAAGGTGTAATCTGTTATGTTGTATGTAGAACTGGATAGACAGAAAGATGGAATGTGAGCATTATCGTTTATCATAAATCTGTTTTCCTAGGCTTCTGGTGTTGTAGTTTCAACAGACTCTAAGAACGTATATGATGAAGTAAAGAAGGATAAGAAATATAGATACATCATATACTACATCAAAGATGAGAAAACTATCGAAGTGGAAGTAAGAGGTGAAAGAGAAGCAACTTATAAAGACTTTCTGTTAACACTTCAAAATTACAAGTCAGATTGTCGATACTGTCTCTTTGATTTCCCTGTTTCTGTTGATGTGGGGGGAAATGAAGACAAGCCTCCAATGACAGTAGACAGATTAGTGTTAATGACATGGTGAGTTTTTTTATGTACTTCCACAGATTATATAGAAAAAGTTTATTTAAATTATATAATTACAAGTTCTTTATAGCATTTTATTTGTAGCTCGTAAATGGTTCTTATTCTGGAAAAAAGTAGTGAACATGATACAGCTCCATGTAAATGTAGCCTAAAGTTATAAAGGAAACTTGAATATATTTATTATGATAAAGGTTGTATAAAGTTAATAACATATTTTATGATCACCAAAGTTTTTGACAATGTATGATGAGAGAGAATAATCAGTGAAGTATTTTTTTTTCATAACTTTGATATGTATGACATTTTATCTCAAGCTAAGTTTTTACTAATTGGTAAAATATTCAGTAGGTGTTGGCTTTTCATAACTAGAAGGACTTTCAATATCTCCTATGTAGAAAAGCCATTTTTAAAAATTGTAAGTATAATCTGTCAATCAAACTGAATAGTCCACTAGTCACTACTATACACTGTTATCAAGCTCTACCACTGAAAGTTTAATGTTTGATTTTCAGTGTGTTATTTGAAGTTAAAAGTAGATTATGAACTCTTTGTCTCTATATTTAAGTCTTTTCTGTTGTAGCAATATATGGCTACATGTGAAAATTTAAACAAGCCAAAAGTATATTATAAAAAGACTTGGGTCAACCAATAGCATAGAGAAAATGTGTGGGAACTGGCCTAAAGTTTAACATAAATAAACATTGGTTTGCTATCAGTGTTACATTTTATTCCAGCTTGTTTAACTTCTAACCTAGTAGTTAGGTGTAATTTTTCTTAATGTATAGTGTTCTGTATAAATAAACTGTTTAGTTTATTGGTTTTATTACAGGATACACTCAGTACATTGGAAAGTACCAGTTGTACTGAGTTGGACCACCAGTTAGCAGTGTTAGCTTGTATACAAGTCAAAACTTTTATGGGTTAAATATGACCAAAATATAATAGAAGGTTATACTAAATAGCTCTTTGTTTTTTGCTTTTAAAAGACAATTAAGATGGGAATTTTAAATTCTGTTTGTATTAGGTGTCAAAAGTATAAAAAATATCAGAATGTACCAGTCAAACAAGCATTACAATTAGAAGAATGTAGCTTTATGTATACATGACACTGCTGTACAGCTGTATTAACCTTCAAACTCTGAATGTTAAATATATTTAAATGTATCAAGGCATGACTAAGAGCCTTCAAATTTCCAAAAATAGGTCAAAATCAAAACTTTTGAATACCACAGTAATAATAGCTTGAAAGTCTGAAACTATCTCGGGTCATTTATTCCATCAGTCAGTAATTTCACTTTTGACAAAATACCTATCTACCACCAATACAGTGATGTAGACATCATAGTAAACTTTTCTTCTCTCATTTAACAGGATATCACCATTTTCAAGGTGCAAACTAGCTAAACTTGGATCAACTGTCATAAACTTAACTTTTTTTTCTTTGATCTGATATTTTTACATATGATAGGTCACATTGACCAACCCACTGTCTAACAATTTGTGTTTTGTAATGTAAGATGTTGAAACAGTACAAGTTTCATAAGTAGAAATATTTCTTTAAATTGGATCACGACATTAATGAAACTAGATATATTCATGTTTCATCATCATTACTTGTTTAATTTTGTTTTCAGCAGTTGCTGTTGGAGCCATGTTATTTTAAGCTTAAACTCTGTTCCACACTTGTGGATTATCTAACAGACCATTTCTGTGAAAATCTTGTTTTAAATTAACACTACCCCCTTTTTTGTAATATTGATTCCTAATGCAAAGCTCACATTTCAAAACATATATTTATGCATTGATCATAATGAGATAAAAACAAATTAATATACCAATATCTCAAAGAAATAGAATTATCCTTATTTCTGATCTACATTGGTTGGTATCAATATAGCTGTACATGTAGACTTGAGACATTTTGAGAATTGTATGTTAAAATAGTTTAGAACCTTCAACAATATGCAGAGAAAAATTTGATAAAGTGATTTGACTTTGATTTTGTATTTGCCACTGAATGGAAATTTTACATATGAGTTTTTAGAGGAACTGGGAGAGAAAGATGAATTTATAAATACAAGTGTTACAGTAATGATGGAAACCATAAAAAGGGACATTGATAATTTAACAATGTGCACTTGTAAATAAAATAATTGTTTATTGAACTCTTAGCTCCACCAAAAAGATTTCCTGTTAAGCTATAGGCTATCTCAAATTAATCATTTTTGAGCTTATTTTTCTAACCAGCTGAAGGATTAATAAGTTCAAAATAACAAACTTAATGTGTTTTTTAGGGGAAGTGTATGATTTTGGGTCATGTACTTCCATCCTTTGTTAGATATTTTTTGTAATGGAAAACACTTGATTTTGTGGACAATTGTTTTAAACTCATACTGTGAGTTGAAGTTTGGTTTATTACAGTTTACAGTGGATCTGCTGTTACATTTTTCTATCTTACTGACCCCAATGTATTATAAAGACAATATTTTTTAAGTTTATTACATTTTGACCAACCCTACCAGTTGGATTAAATTGGTGATACTCTTCTTTCTTATTATTTTAGTCACGTTCCAAAAGCAATTTCTGGTCAGATAATTTTAACTTCTGTTTTTATAATATTAAAGTCACACTAACATCAGATATAAGGGTTATGTTGCCAATAAGTATAGATGGATACTAAATAGCATTATTATTTTACAAAGGTTGTCCTAGGCAGTGATGTTTGGCATACAAAAAAGTAATTTAAAATTCTTTTATAAGCCTGTCACTTGAAATACGTAATGGACTAAAGAGGAATGTGGGGAAAATAGCTGCAGTCTAGTAATTTTCATCACAAAATTATGTTGAAAACATTACTAAACAAACAAGGACATTACAAAAAAAAGTTGAAGCCAAATGATTTAGTAGTGAATGTATGATGATGCATCTTATCACATTGTTGATGTAGGTGGTTCTCCAGTATAACTGATAACAGGAAATAGTATGAACTTCATTCATTGCACAACCTAATGTTCTTAACTGTACAAGAGTCTATTGGACTCCATAGTATTGCATGAGTCTTGCATTCAAATGATTTGATTCCTGCTTCTACAGGGAGTAGTAAAATAAAACCAATATGACATATAAATCCCAAATGTTTTCAAAAAGTCTTAGCAAAAGTGAGGCAACTCCAAAGTGGCAAAATCAATGTTAATATTTATCATAAACTTTATTAGTTTGACTTATGGATAAAAGAGTGATTAAGCAGACTAGTTCAGAATGGGAATTAATTTCAAATGTTTGATTACAAACTTGGTGTGAAATTATTTACTTGTATCACCAGTGGTTGTGGAATAAATCTACATTCATCAACTGGTAACTGTTTAACTTTCTCCTTGATTTTGATTTAAAACAGCAGTTAATGAATAATAAAGTCTTAATTTAACTCAGCTTTTCCATGAATATATACTTTTCATTCTTTTCATAGAATTTAACTTTTAGAGCCAAATGACATTGTATAAACCAAAACTATATGTTCCAGTAAAATAATTATTTATGATCCTTCACTTTAAAGTACATCTCTTTATATTAACCAAACTTGTACTTTATTAGTAACTAACATAGCTATGTAGGGGACTTGGAAACAAGTCCTATGCATTCACATTTGCACACTTTTCTAAACAATTAATTCAAAATGTCTTTGTTCATTTAGTAATGTGCACAAAGTTTAAGAACAATATGCACATAAAATAAATACTGATAAAAAAGTAATCTATCATTCAGTCTTTCTTGCTTAGTAGAAAGGTATAAACTAAACATGTAAAATTATTATTCTTGACTTTGTTTAATGTAAAATGGAGTTTATTATGAGACATTTTTATAAACGTAAATAAAATAACAAATGACCTATATCTCCAGAATGTAATTCTATTAGCTCAATATTTCACCTTTACAGCTTCATCAGGAGCTGTTGATTTAGATTGAATTGGATTAGTGAACTGGTAGGAAATTTATAGCTCCTGATGAAGCTGTAATAGTGAAATAATTTAATATTATTGATGATAGTGTGAAAAGTTTCCATGGTTAACTCTCTGAGACCCAAGTGCATTGATTTGATTCATAACTATCTTTTAATGAATATTATTGGTGATAGAGTGAAAAGTTTCCATGGTTAACTCTCTGAGACCCAGGTGCGTTGATTTGATTCATAACTATCTTTTAATGAATATTCTTAGCGATAGTGTGAAAAGTTTCCATAGTTAACTTTATGAGACTCGGGTGCTTTGATTCGATACACATGTTGTATTTTTTGTTTTGCTGTATTGGGAGAAAACTACTGAATCCAAAAGTTCTCAAAGCTGAGATATAAGCAGTTGGGTTTAGGAACAGTGATTGGCTAAAAATTGATAAAACTACACTTTTATTGAAGTACAAGGACAAATTAGTGCTGTATTACAAACTGACAACAGTTATGACTCTTTTTTCTTAGGGCTATCAATTGAAGTAAAAAACTTTCTTAATTGAATAATTTTAACTATGAAGTGTTTTTGTAATGTGTGTAAAACTGACTACAAGTTTATTTTGTATAATTTTCCCTTTCAATGGTGTAATTATCCCTTCTAGGTGAACTGTACCAATCCAAACATGAAAAAAATTTAAGATATGGGTTAAAAGTACTTTGGTTATGGCCTGGTTTAATAAATATTTAAGTCGGATAATATACAAATTCATGAAATTCTTCTAGACAAGAACAAATTGATTAATTGTGTTTTTGAGTGTTTAGTTAAGATGTCCTCATTTTAGCCCTTGGCTATTAGTATTCATCCTTTTGATTTTGATTAAGAATATTGTTGTAGTAAGATGGAAATGGATTTTTATTTTTCTAACTTAACAATGCTACTTTACTATTTACCTTGTGTGCTTTAATTTTGACAAACTTCAGTGTAACACGAGTGCTAAATGTTGTCCTAGACACTTGGTATGTGTGATAGTTTGCTCCTTTATTTAGTGCTCTTGCTAGATAAATTTGTTTACTTAAAACATAAACATTTTTATTGCTATTGTCTCCATCAAAAAGCTAAAAACTTGACCAAATTTGGTTTATATAGAGGTAAGTTGGGACATACACGATTGAATTGTTAATTAGGGGGATTGATGCATTTCAAGTCATCACCTGAGGTGATGAGGTAGAAGAAGAAAAACATTATATCCTTAAAAGTCAGATAACATCAGAACTATTTTATTTATTGTTGTATTAGCAAATAAAATTAAATATAAAAAATCACAAGTTGATTATAGGCTAAGAAGAGAGGAATTTTAGATAGTTCATAAAAAGTTTATCATATATAGGTAGTATCTTGAAAACAAAAAGGCATTAAAACATTCACTTAAATTTTTATAAATGATTTTAAAGTGCAACTGTGGCCACAAAATGTGGAGAGAGTTTTTGTGGCAATGGGACATGGACAGTGAATCCTCACGTTCACAATCCAGGTTCACTAACAAGAGGTCACACCTGGCATTTAGAAAAATTATTCTAATAATTAACAAAACTTTTGGTACTTTCAAGTGGTAGTTTTTAAAGATAGTAATATATTTATACCTACAGCTACTGTGCTAGTTGTTAACCCTTATTACTAACACTACATTTACTTACTGGCAAGTTACAAATGCTCATCATGTCTTTGATTGAACAGTAATTATGATTAGTAAAAGAAAATTGTTGACATAACTTTAAAGCAATAAAACAACAACAAAAAAAACTTGTGTATGTAATATACAATAGCATAAAAAATGTTACAGTATGACAAGCTGGAATAAAGTTTATAGTTTGTTAGGCTTATTTGAAATATAGGTACTCAACATCATTATTAGATCTAAGCCATAAGACTTGTATTATACTTCTGGCTTGTTAAATATATGAAAAAGTTGATAAGTAGTTTTAAATTTTACTGTAGCTTTCACACACTTAGTGTTAAATACCTTTGTCAACAGATTAATGGGTGTTTTTTTGAAACTAAATATGCAGTGTTCATTGTGAAGAGTGCTTGTATTCATTTGCAGTTTCAGTCACATTTTGACCAAATTAGTATTGGTAGTATTTTCAAGAATGAAGAATGTAACATACCAGTGCATAATTTATATACATAGGTGCCCAGAATCATCAAAGATCAAACAGAAAATGTTGTACTCTAGTAGCTGTGATGCACTCAAGAAGGCACTTGTTGGGACGTACAAATACATTCAGGCCTGTGACTTTGAAGAAGCTGATGAGACTGCAATTATAGAATCACTAAAGAAGGGTGGAAAGTAAATACTCATCAGTCTTCTAAGTGTCATTATTGTTGTAACATTTGCAAAATGTGTACAAGATTCTGTTTTACTCCAAAGTTGAGTGCACTTTGAATCATATTTGTGTGTGTGTGTGAATCATAAGATTACCAAGAATTTCTAGATATTTCGTGAAAGTTTGTGTACTGTAAAATATTTCCATGCTGACATTTTTTCTTCTCTAAATGAAAACAATTTCATCAAGATATTGGATTCTAAGCTTAAATTTTTTTTGGATATTCTAGTAATTGTATGCTAGTTGAGAAGAAGGTAGATTTTTGTAACATCTAAATATGTGTATCGTTAAAATTTAATTTAATATATGTATAATTTACAGTTTTCTTGAGTTTGAACAGTTGTATTTTTCTTTTTTTTAAGTCAAAGCTTTTCTTCATATATCTATTAGTGGTTCTTTGTTGCTTTAAATACATTGGCAGATATGTTATAGACTTAAGTTCTTACATTATGCTTTACCAAAAAAGAAAAGTCCTGTTAAAGTTTGACCAAAATATTACCAGAAAATTAGTTTAGACCAAAACCAATGGCACATGAAATGTAATTATATACTAGATAATATCTGTCAATAAATATTCAAAATATGAACCTTGTCTTGATGGAGATTTAATTGATTTTTATTTGTACACTTGACCCATAAAGGCTATGGCAACATTATTTAATGATTCATAAGTTTATTGAAAGCTGACTTGTTACTATAATATTTTGTACTAGGCCCCATTATATAAGACCCTCTGTAAGATGATTGTAATATTTACTAACAGGGCTGATAAACAAACAAAAAAACTGTGTGAACTTAAAAATGTCTTTACTGTAAAAAAATATGTTTGGATATCTAGTGTTAATAATATTTCTTTATTAAACATCCCTGACACACAAAACAAATTGCATCTGTCACAGTTGAAGCCAAAATAAAGAAGGGAACCAGTATAATAGGACTTGTCAGTCATATAAAAATTCTTTTATCACTATTTTCAGTTTGGAGAATTCTTGATACACCGCAAAGTGGCTTATATTCTTATAATGATGGACTTAGATAGTTAATGAAAATATTGTATTATTTAAACGTTTTTTGAATTTGCTTCTGATATACTATTACTGTATGTGAAGTATAACATCTGCTTAATTATATCTGTTAGTTAAGGAATTTGATTATATAATAATAACCATAAACTGATATAATGAACATGAGGCTATTTACTGTTGCATGTTCTGTGGTTAATACTGCTTGTTAGGTTCTTTACAAATGTTATAACTTTCTCACCAATTTCTTCACATGTGAGTTTAGAAATAAGGAGTTGTATACATATATTTCAAATTATTTTATTATAATGATAATAGTCTGAAATACATTTTTCATTCTCAAGGTCTCCATTTATTCACTTCTTTCTTGGTACTGTCCCTTCAGGATATTGAGGTTTTGTAACGATAAACAATAAGGGGCAAAATGTTCCTCATACACAACACTGTTTTTACCCCCAAAAAATGTCTTTGTTGTCTTCACATTGTGTTCGGTACCCAAGTTATGTAGTCATTTCTTTATTTCCTTTTTTTTTTTTATTCTTGGTGATCTGATTGAAGTTTGGGGACTTGGTGAAAATTTTAACTCCTTGCTCTCCTGCTTTTTAATACTTCAACCTTACACCCTACTCAGTCATGTTTCTTTGCAGATGTTAGGTTATCAACTAATGGGTCCTGTACAATGGCAAGATCATACATAGAAGCAGTTCAAATCCATGAATAATGGAATTCCTTGGAAATTATAGAATATACAGACTCCCACAAAATTGTTAATAGCTTAAGAAATTTTATTTAAAAAAAAATGCACTGAAGTAATCAACTAATTGAAATTGGGGTTTCTGATTATCACTATTTTCAATTATTTGAACTACCCAAGAAATCAAAATATTGCTACTGTATTTGTTTATTTGTGGGGATTCAAGGGTATAGGGTTTGATTCCCATTGCCACCAAACTCTAACCCTGCTATAGTTATGGCATAGTTGCTAAAGTTATATGCCACTGCTACCAATTTGTAATACTGATTAAAGGGAAACAAATGGCTGGCATCACAAGCCATCAACTTTTTGTGTGTGTATGTTTGAAGAAACTTGTTATAGTAGATATCATTAATTAATGGGGCCATTGATTAGCAAATACCCATAATTGCCTAATAGTGAAAGTATTTTTACTAAATAATTTTAACAAAATTTGTTTTACTGTTGGAGTAGCACTTATTTAATAAAATTTAGTTCTGCTTGGAGATTCCCATATGTCAAACTAATAAAAACAAATTTAAAACAAATTAATTGTAGACACTTCTCTGATTTAGAGCTGCATTAACCAAATCTAAGAGAAATATGTAAAAAACAAACAAACATTGCAGTTAACTTTTTTTAAATTAATTTTTGTACCTTAGACAAGTTATTACTGGTTGTACACAGTAATTCCTTTATTGTGTTACAACATTTCACCAGGCATCTGTTAAGTTACAAAAAACTGAGGCTAACAAAAGTTAATTTAGAACAAGAAAATCACAATAATCTACAGAGCATGTGACTTAGCAACTGTATGATTAATAGTGTTTTATCAATGAAGCACCAAATATGTAAAAATAAAACTAAGGCCTAAGCCAAATAATGGAAATTAGTTTTATATACACAAGAGAGGGAGAGATTAAAATATATATAAATTTACATTTTTGTTAAGAATATATATATATTTTTTTCAGTTATTAACAAGGCTTCTTTTATTTTTTGATATGTTAGTTATTTTCTATGTTGAGGATTTTTACCTTAGAAGAATTAAAAAAATAACTGTTCCTAGACTTTTACTCAAAAACACAAGAAGGTGATTTCTTAATATTCCCAAAAATGAATAGAAAGTTTTTTGCAATCTGTACATTCTATTATTATGTACATTTCCTGAAGTATCATTGTCAATATACTTTTCGAATAGAAGTTGACTTAGTTTTTTTAATTTTCAGGTAGAAATGTACATTATATTTTATTTCATTTTCATAATTTTCAATGGTTTTTAACCAAATTTTTTTGAGTACATCATAGACGTTTGGGATGAAAGGTGAGACATGTTAAACGGGGATATCTGTAGAAAATTCATTATCCCCAGAAAATTCATTCTACACGTAAAGTTTGTGGCTCATTTGTAAAGGAAACAGTTACTCAATTAACAATGAGAGCGAAACTGTTTTATACACAAAACTGAAACCTAAAGTTGTCATTTTCTTTTTTTGAAACAGTTGAGATTGGAACTTGATTTTATTTTTATGTATTGTAATAACATTTCTGACTTTGGGAATTAGTCACAAAGAGAATTCCATAGAACATAAAGTTCAGTTTGAGTAGTTTTAGTGAAATACAAAGGTGTTTGGGTTTGTCTTTTCAACAAGAATATTTAGGACAATTTGTCATCAATGGCTTTTTCCATCAAGAATTTTAAGTTTGGGTTTATCTGGTTTAGATTATGGTGTCAAGGTTATTGAAAACTGTAACAATGTCATCACTACACAGAAAAAAAAATTGGTATGTAAAGTGAATTTGGGATGGCAATATCTTCAGTGCTTATCATGAATGTATTGGCAAATACTGGGACTACAGGTTCCCATAATTAAGCCTTCAACTTGGATATAACTTGCACCTTCAAACTGGAAGATTTTAGCTATAATGACAAACAAGTCTCATGGTGTTCATGTTTAGGCAGAAATGAGGATTAGAATCATTTGGGTAACATTCCAAATCAGCATTTATTGGTTTAAGGACAGAAACTTTAGTGAATAGATTTTTTGCATTGAATGTGACCAACTGAACAAAATGATTTAATTCTCAGTTTTTTTATGAAAAAGGAAGCATAAGAAACATGGTCAGAGTACTTTCAAGCGATGAACTTTTCAAGGTTGTAGCTGTAAGCTTCATATGATGAAACAATAGGACATAGGGGGAAATTAGGTTTGTGAGGCCATATATGTGAAAGGTACGGGAACTTGAAGAAATTGTTTTAATTTCTTTTCTCTGGAAAGGATTAAGGTGGTTTCCATTTAAAAAAAAAAAGGAAGAGTGCATGCAACTTTTGCTGATGTACAATTTGATCTATAACAACAACAACAGCATTGCCCTTATCAGATTTCAATAAAAGTCCATTGTCATCATTTTTTATGTTTTAGTGCTTTATGTTCTTGAGAAAGGTTTAATTTCAACCAAGATTATTTAATCACATTTCTTAAAATGCCTGCAATTTTTTTTTCATGATTAATTTCATTATTATTATTAACAAGTTGGTACACTTCTTCATAATATTAATTAGCCAAAATTGCTTTTAAACTTTGATGATATTTAACTTCAAGGGCAATGTGTAATCTTCCTGCATCTGTTCACAGTTTGTAGTGCATTGTTTTAATTATCTTGATAGATTGGAAATTAGAAGTTGTTAATTTACACTGTAGAAAATCAGAAATGATTTGATGATCATGACAGTTTTATAGAAAGAATATGTAATACATTTTTAGTAAGAAGTTCATTTATCCAGAAGAATCATAGTTTGCAGTGAAATATTCATTAAAGAAAGATATGATAAAGAGTAGTGAGAAAATGCTACACAGTAAAACAAGAAATAAATTTAGTTTCTGTCCCACAAAGAGCAGAACCATTTCAATAATAGAAAACGTTTTCTTGGGTAACTTGAATTGTAGTTGTTATTAGGCTTAGATCCAGTCAGTTTTTTCTGTTAGGCTTAGGTGTAGAATGGTTGAAAATAGATTCACAACAACATTAAACTTTCCGACTCCAAAAAGAAACATGAATTAATTCTAATATGTAATTTTTAGGTTTGTTGGTTTTTCAGTATTTTGCCAGATTTTTGGTGTTGAAGACTAAATGTATTGTCACAAGAAAAAGGAGTTTTAAACTACATAATCTTATCATAGACATAAAGTAGCTTAAAAATCCCAGTTTGTTTTAAATTTATCTTTCCCCTCATGAAATTTGTTGGTAACAAAAGTACAAGCTTCCTAATGTGGCCATTGCATAAATAAACGTTTTTTGTTTTCCAAAGTTCTTTTTTTTTTTAATAGAGAGCAAGTTATATTTTACCTTGTGAAACTACTAAGTTAAATATACTTAAATAATTTATAATTTCTTTACCCCTATGTAAAATTCTCATGAAGAAATCAGTCATCTGTGTGTGATGGTGGAGATTCTACCACTTAAGTTCTCATATTGAAATCTGAATTATTTCTCCCACATAAGAAATGCTATAAAACAGTTATATTTCCACAAATTTGTATTGGACAATTATGGTAATATGATCATATCATGTTCTGTTTTTGGTTAAAAGTTTCACTCAGAAGTATACAAGTATTTAATTTATTCCTTGAGTGCATTTCTTACTGATATTATGAAGAAAACGATAGTAGAGGACTGGTGAACTTTTGCAGCAAATTATTATGCACACAAAAATAACAAGGATGAATATGTAAAGGCCTTGGTCATCCCAGTATGGGCAGAATAACACATTTACTAAGCACCCATGAACAATAAAAGAAATACCATATGGGTATTACAACATATGAATTAT